AGAAAGCCTAGCATGTTGACAGTCCTGCCTAACATGCCTGAAGCTGGTGGAAGGCCTTAATGTTGTGCTGGTGCACAGTGTAGTACACTGGCACTTGTTATCTCACACTGGGCACATCAGGTGTCAGTTAAGATATTGCAGAAGCTGAAGAAAAACACACTTGGTTAAAATATTTTTAAACTTATTAAGCTTATGTGCACAAAACATGAATGATAACTGAAAAATAATAAAGTCTAGAAATATGCATATTCTACTAATGTGTGGTTCACAGCTCTATGCACAAACACAGCTATCTACATGCAACTTTCCTTATTTAGGCAGGCAAGCCGTCTAGGTCTTAGAAATGCATGGCAGCAGGTTACAAAGAAGAAAATGGTTGCCCTACATTAATGTGTTCACTTTTTTGTAGTAATAGTTTCTGTGACAGGCAAATAATATGATGACAACAGTGATTTAAGCACATTAATATGATTCTTTCCCCTGCTGGTTTTGTATTCATGAGCTTGGAGGAGCATTGGATGAGCAGTCAAATAATGAAATAAAAAAAGATCTCTTAGAAAAGGAGCCTGTAAAAACAAAAAAAAAGTCAGAATCAGTGATTTTTCATGTTGCTCAGCTATTAATATCCAGCACCTGGAGGGATATTATTCCAGTCTCTAGCAAGTGTGCTGCTGGCCTGCTCTTCCTTGGGTTTGCTGAGTCAGCAGCCTACAAAGATTTATTGTGGAGTCAGCTTGAAGAGATAGCTGTGATGCGAAACCAAAGCTACATTGAAAGAAAGGGGGAAATGGGAGCAAAAGAGCAGGAAGAGAGGAAAAGAATATGAAAAAAACTCATGTCTGCATCGCTGCACTGTTAGGGATTTGATTTCGCAGAGTGAGTGCATGTCCTACGGCAAGTATTCAGGCCTTCCTGATGATCAGGCAGCTACACTGTAATCCTGCCTGGGGGAGGATACAGGATCAGCGCTTGGCCCAAGTTTACACACCACAAGATCCTCTGGATGAACTGTGCAGAGTTTGCCTGTGCAATAGCCATAGGGTTAGGAAGTTACTGCAAGGCAGCGCTTACAGTGCTTAAGGCTACTTCCAGGGCTTCTTTTTCAAAGCAATGGAGACATAGCTATTTCATGAAAATCTATGAGGCCCTTTTTAAAAAATACTGGCTACCGTAAAGCCTAAGTGTTGCTATGATTGCAGTCCCCAAGGGCACAGAACCCAACTCAGCAAAACCCTTGTCCTTCTCTGGGCAAGGGGTGAATAGCTCACTCCAGGCTAGCTTGTACTTATAATCCTGAAAACAAATTTGAGTTTCTCTCAGATTTTTTTTTTTTTCCCCCATCAGGAAATCACTTGGAAGTGAGGATTTTGGAGATATGTGTCCTAAATAAATAATGGTGATCTTTGTGATCTATTTGTTCCATGACATATAATGCTAGTTGTTCCCAAAATAGAGAACATCACCGTCCTAATGAATGGGACCTAACTTTCCGGTGCTTGTTAGAGCTGAGCTGTGTACATAACTGATGTCAGCAAATGCAGTTAAGCCAATATTTAGCCACCTAAATACTGGATGTCTAGATTAAGATATTTCCCTGTGTTAATATATACCAATGATGCTTCTATAGTCAAGGTATTGGTATAACCCATCCTAAACCCCTCTAGTGCTCTCCTGACTTCAGGGTCATCAAAAATTAGCTTAGACTTGACTTTGGTTTCTTTAGTTCTTAGAAACCTCGTCTCTACTGAGTAGTATGTTACATTTTATGAATGTCATGTGGATGATGAATACATGACAGTAAGTCACTGTTACCCAATGGATTGTCTCGCATTATCAACATCTTGGGACGCATCTTCATAGGGTGGTTTGTAAAATTATCACAAATTCTGTCTGCTACCTTTCCTGGAATATGTTTCTAAAATTGAGTATTTAATGTATGTTCTTGCATGGGTGAGGCAGATGTCAATGAATCATTGTGTCTACACTAAAGAAAAATTAAAAATGCATACCATGGAATACTCCGGGGTCTTTAAAAAAATGGAAAAATATTTATTTTAGGGAGAACAGGAAAAATATTTTCCCCACACAATAACATTTTCACATTTTAAAAGTCTTATCTAGCACTTTGAGACAATTATTCTTTCTGATGAAGTTTAAAGAATTTAATCTCAGTTTCACACTTTTTCACCTTATTTTGTACAAAATAAAATTTTTAAATAAATGTTGTCTTCCAACAAGATACTTACAACATGGAAAGGGAGCACTGCGTAACTGTCCTCCCCCTTCTTAAAAAGGAAAAACAGCTTTTTTTTTTTTTTGCTATCAATATAATTTAGACTATAAACTGTTAGGTTTAATGGTTTCCCAACTTTTGTATGCGCTCAGTGGCTGCACTCACTGTTCCAATATACTTTATATACACGTACGCTCGCGCTGAAAAATTCTCAAGGACTGCAAAAAGGAAAAGTTTTTCACTGTTCCTGGCCTTCCTGGTAGCACATCTATGCAATGCCCTTTTCTGTCAAATATTGTTCAGTAGGTTTCTTCTGGAGTGAAAAATTCTTCCTAATTCTCTAAGAGCTTTAGATAGAAAAAGAAAACACTTCAGCTTCTGTGTACTCTTTTCAAATGCTTTTGGTCCCACAGTCTCACTCTGACTCAGCAACTGTAGCCAAAGTGTGTAATTCAGGGGTTATTTAGGCTAAATACAGGCTCATGATTTGGTTGTTTGAAGACTCCTGAAACAGTTTGTCAATAATTTGAACTACTGATATTTGCAGATTTGTGAAAGAAAAGTACAGAGATTTTTGGGTCTTTTTAAAATTATTCCTACCTGATAGCCACATCTAAGCATGTTACATATTTTGGCATAAAACTGTTCTGGACATTTATTTTGGCTTTCTTGTTTGCTAAGGGCTTGCCACATAACTGATAATACAAAATGCATATTGGATAAGATTAGAAATATGCTAAAGCTCAAGGGTATAAATTTGTATTTACTTCCTCACAAATATTAAAACGTTCTTTTTTCTTGCTGCTCTCTGGCTGAGCTGCTTTCAGTTATTGTATCTCTGTTAGCCAGTTCTATGATAATTTTCTCCATTACTTAAAAAACATAACAAAATATATGACTCTTTTACATTGCAATAGAAACTAAATTATCTTGTGATTACAGGCTGAGCTAGTCCATTTTAGTACCTCTTTAGCAATGTAGATGCGCAAATTCTAAATCTTTTTGGTCACCATGTGTTGTCTATTACGTCTGAACTAATACAGAAACACCAGGTGAACAAACTGTGTGTTAATTTAAAATAACTGTTCAATCTCACTGCATGTTTTCAGTCTAAAAGCTTTGACATTGAAGGTGATGAAGTTACTGTTCACCTTGTAACTGACTGTAGCTGTAGGCGTTCCCTTGCACACTCCATTTGCAGAACAGCTGAGAGAGAATCAGGAATTTTGTACTGGCAAGAAGCATTAGGGGATTGGCTGTAAGATGCTGAAGGGCCTTTGGTGCCCTAAGGAAAGCAGAGTAATGTGATCACATCGATGTATAAGTGTTTGTTTTTACTTTCCTCCAGGTCATCTATCTACCCCTATACTATGGGTGGTTTCAACTAAATCTGACAGAAGGATCACATTCTCTGGCAAATAATTTTTCTAACAGCTTCATATGAGTGTTTAGGCAAAGAGAAATTTTGTTAAATCCTTACAGAATAATGAACTTCAACATAAGCTCAAGCCTCATTAGACAACAGAGTATCCAAACAACTCTTCTAGGAGATAGTACTCCATGTGATCAATGGCTAAAGCCTTGTGCTACTGCTCACAAAACTCATTGGGTTTTCTTTGACTTTTTTTGGTTTGTTGTTTTTTTTTTCTTTTAATTTAGCAGCTAATTCAAGTAGCTGGCAGTTCAGAATCACTGGCAATTAGAACGGTAACCTAACCTATGAGAGCTTGAAGGTCAAATGTTCTTGTTGCCCTGTACTTAGTCCTGCATTTGATCAATGCTACAGCTTCTTGTTGCTCAGTTCTCTCTGTGTCAAATAGCCCAGCTACACTGCCCTGTCTCTAAAAGCTGTGGAAAAAATAAATCCACTTAGTGCTAAGGTATGCTTAAGTATTAGAGTGATGGTGCCAAAGAGAAATGTATGAGATCGAGAAGTTTGGTTAATCTCAGTGCTGCACTGCAGAGAAGCACATGCTACTAAACTGCCCGGAGATCTGCCCAAGGTTAAGGAGCTTTGTGAGATACCTGGATTTCAGATATGCTGAGATCCATAGCTTTAGCTAACCTGAAAAAATGTTGGGCTCTGTATTTGGTCTATTTTGCAGCTCAAACTGTAAACAAAACCCTCAGTCGTATCTGAGTGAAGCAGGACATATTTCATCAGTTTATTGTAGTGAACCGATGATCGAGCATCCCTCTTTTTCTGCCTTTATTCTCACAATTTTTTGTACATGACCTGGTATCTAACTTCTTCTCACCAAAATAATACGTGGCATAGCAGCTGAGGGGCATCCCTGGGTGCTCTAGAAAAGCACAGATGGGGGTGGCCAGGGCACAGCGTAGTACCTCCTGATTTTCTAATGCTGCTGTGAAGTCCCATGGAAATCTTCATCTGATTAATATCTCCATCTTTGTATTGACATGCTTATTCCTTCTCCATTTCATGGAAGATTATTTGTTTTATTTATTCAGTTGTTTACCAGCTGCATTTTAATCTTTTAGGGATTTTTCTGTGAATTAAAGGAGTAGATGGGAACCAGAAATTCTAAGGTTGATTTTGCTTTCATTTGGTTAACCTATTGGTTACGACAGTAATTCTGCAGCTATTTAATTACAGGACACAAAGATGGAAATTAAAACTCTTTTCCCTTTCGTGTCCATGGATTTTTCCTGTAACTCTGTTAATGAAATCTAAAATAACACCTTGTAGGTAACAATTAATACTCGAGGGGCAGGCCATCTTGCTGTCGAGGTCAGCTCCCACTACATGGCGCTGCTTACAAAGGGAGGCGTCTGGATGTTCAGCAATGTGAAGTGGCGATCTTCCAGCTATGTTTATGGCTTTGCAAAAATAACAAACACCAAACGGCTGTAGAAGCTGGCAGGAGCCATTGTGAAATAACACCATCAATATTATGGAAGAATGAAATCCTGAGTTCAATGCAATGTCACAAAAACTAAAAGGAAAGTGACAGGGATGTGTGTGAATAACACTGGTCTAGAAAAAAATTCTGTTTTCATTATGGATTGCTTGCATTTTGGGGCAGTGGTTTTTATTCAGTGTACTTTTTCATAAGAGAAAATGTGAAATTTTTATATCTGTTGCCAAATGTGTAATGTAGAAATTCTGAACACTGTAATCTTTAGCAGCAAATAAATTATAGTTAACGTATATTGGAGTCACCCAGTATAACCCACAAGGGACAATATGAAATAAGATCCACCAGTTATGCTTTCAAGTCTCTGTTTACCTGAAGTATGACAGCAATTTTCTCTCTTGGCAGAGGAATCTCTTCTCCTTCTCTCTTCAGTGTGTATTAGACATACAGTATTCACATATGTTAATCTTTTCCTCTGAAGCAGGAAAACCAAAGCAGTCTGAAAAACAGCTGCTCCCATTTCTGACCCTACCTTTCTCCATGAAAAAAAGAAACCTCCTTCTTCTTAACTTTAATCTGAATCAAATTAAATGATACTGCAGTTTACCGTTACCATTTCAAGGACTTCAGAGCTACATCTCTTTTTGTTGTAGAAGTCATGCTACAATTCAGAGAGAAGTGGAGCTACAAAAATTTAGACCATTTACCTTAGAGGAAACGCATCCTTGTTCCATTGCACATTGCACTGCAGGATGGGCAATAAGGGCCTGAACTCCCTGAGAAGTAAAAATAGTATGCATGGTGTAACAGAGTTTTCTCTCTGTAACTGGAAATACGTTAGCAGAAGAGAAATTAACTTCTTGGAAGAAACAGATATGAGCAGGTAGCTGAAAATGAAGCTGTTAAAGTTGACATCAGAAATTCTGGCCTCTTCAGGTCCTGGTCAGGCATTCATGTGGGGAAATTCATCTGAACCTGAGCAACAACCCGTTCTGAGGCTTTTGGCTTACTAAGAAGAACAACGGAGGGAAAGACACAGGCACGAACTCATGGCTGTCACGCAAAGGAAGACATCTTTTCTGAGGCCATGTTGCATGTGTTGTGTGGCTCTCGCCAGCCACCACGGTTAACTACAGAGGCAAAATGTGGCTTGTGCTGCTGGGATGTATACTATGTCAAGACACGTCAAGACATGTGGGAATCTAGGATAACTGAAGACTTTCAGAACCAGGTAACAGTGGGGCTATGACATGGTCATTGTCACTGATGAAGTAAGATAGCGTTTCCAAGCCCAAATGCATAACATTAGGCTCTCTTAGTCAACATAGAAGGACCCTATTAAATATGGCATGCACAAATACTCCAGCAGAACCCTTACCTCTTTCTCTAGGATGCCAATGTATTGATGCTTCCACCCATTAAGCAAATTAAATTTGGGAAGAGAGGCTTGAGCGTATTGGCCAGCATTTATTATATTTAGTGTAAACATGTATGCTTGGGCTTTAAAGCCCCCCTTTTTTTTTTCCTTTTTCTTTTTTTTTGTGGCACTGAAAAAGTGTCTCTTGTTTAAATATGCAAAAGATTCTGAGTCCTAAATGTCTGCGCATTGCAGTCAGCTGCAAACAGCACAGCTGAAGCATCTGTTACCCTTGCAGAGAGCCCGTGTGCCACTGAGTTCTGCATCGAGAATGCCCTTGTGTCTGCCAACCGAGGTGACTGGCTTAACACTTTAGATGCCTGCTGCAATTTTTTGGAGATGAGGACAGGAAGAGATGTACCATGAGGATAATAAAATGCATCCTGATTCTGTCCTTATTCAGTAAGACATCCCTTATCTGAGCCAATTTCTATATAGGAGTAGAGCAGAAAATGCTGGAGCAGAATCTGGGTCATGACAAGACTCTGAAAGTGAGACCTGTGGCTTATCTGTCAGTATCTGAAATGCATCCAAGTCCTGCAGGTTTATTTGGAGTGAAGTCACCCTTTAAGGGGGAGATCTGTTCATATTTGACCATCTCTAGCACTGTATGTTGTCCCTCCTTAAATCAAATCATACCCTGCAATGATATAAGAGTAAAATAGGAATTTGAGATAGGGCATGCAATCTGGCACTGTATGTTGTTCTATTCTTTTGTTTTCTAGTAATTTTGCAATATTTTTTTGTAACACATCGTATTTCTGAACTTCTTGAAATCTACTTCAGGTTCAGCTCACGAAACATAGTGTGATCGCTGGTAGGATTTTCTAAGAACACCTCATGAACAGTGCAGGATAAATGCATTGCTGCATGTATTTTATGCTGTTAACAGAGCAGTTAGCAGAGCAGGGCCTGGGTCCCACCTATTTCCTGCCCTCATGATTGTCTCATGGGCAGTCTCTGGGCAGCTTGTGTATCCTCGTGCTATGTGAAGCAAAGCATTTGCATAATGTGTCAAGTAGTGGTAGGAATTTCACTTTTTGCAAGAGATGGTGGCATTCTGAAATCATGGTTCATAAGAACGTTGAGTTAGAGCTTAAAAAGGCAGAATATTCTTAATACAGCAACTACTAAATAATGTTATTAGCACAGAAAATTTTAGGAAAGTAAAAATAAAAAAAAAAAAAAGAGGAAACTTGGGGAAAGAGAAAGAGGGAGCTGTATGTCTAACACACCTGCAGCCAGAAATGGTCTCATATGCATTGTTCCATGCCAGCTCAAACCTTTTGTACACTGTTACCCTTCCAAAACACCATGTCTACCTTTGGTGATCCCATCCCACAGCCATGGGAAAAAAACTGGAGTGTAAGAAGGCTGTAGCTGGCCCACTGCTAGCAAGTGGCATAGATGAATATTCTGCCCAGTGTGTGGTGTAGACTGGAGAATACATCACACATTGCTGGTTCCTATCTCTGCTCTCCTTCTGTATAGCTGCTGCTCTCAGCTCCACCAAAATGGATTTAGATTGGTCGGTCTGGATTTTTTATAGTGTGTAAAAAGAAATCCCACTACATGTCACATTTCATCTAATCTGTTCTAGAGTTCAACTTGTGTGATTAAAGAAAAGAATTGGGTGTGACTGTGTTTCTGTATATCTTAAGCTCCTGTGAAAATATCAGTTATTGCTGTCTGCCTATTGTGTTTTTATGGTGGCTAATACATGGGTCCCTGCTGATAGTGAGTCTGGGCACGTGCTTTTCTTCTATGGCATACATGAAAGCAGTATGTTTTTATTGTTCCTTTGAAATATAAGAAATGGGAAACTGAGATAAAAAATTGTACTCCATCACTTGTTCACTGCATGTTCTTGAATGGGGCACATTTGAACTGCATTCAAATCACAAGGCATGATACTAGTCCAGAGCTGCATGTTCTCAGGTTCTGAAAATATAGGCTACAGGGTTAAAGCCAAAGGCCAAAGCTCCCATTTTAAGTCATTATCTGTCAATATATGTTAATTGTAGAGCTGACATCTTCACTTAATGAGATAAATACTATACAACAGGTAATGTGGCTTCATTCACATTCACATTTGCATTCAGTGATATCTAGGGCATCTTTAAACAGGTGTCATATTTAAGCTTACAAATGCCCAAGACAGAAATATTGCATGTGGCTAAATTACTATGAATCACAAATGTACCAAATACCATCTGCTGTATTGGTGGAGGGAAATGTGTTGGTGGAACTGATCACCCCTTCAGCAATGATTTCTCTACCCAGAACTTAGCTATTCACTGTCCTGGTATAACTGCATATCACCAGAGATTATGTTTTCTGAGAACTACGTTTAAATGTTGCTATTAAAAGAGCTCTTGACAGATATTTAAATACTGGTGATCAGCCATGAGTAAATCATATGCCCAAAGATAGTGCAATACCTCTGCTGGTCTATAAAATCTGAGGTGCTTAAGGTGGAAAAGTAACGCACAGAAAACTGTTTCCAAGAAGTAGGGTGGGAATGGGATTCATTAGTGAGATGCCTACAGCTGCACAAGTCATCTAGGGCTCTCATTTTTTGTTACTAGCAAGAAACAAACATTGACAGTGCAAGTCTCTCTCCATATCATGGTTTTCACCCAGACAAATTAGGCAATAGACATTGACCCACACGGAGTGCCCAAGCCATTAACTGGCTGTGAGACAAGTTTCTGCTGATGCTTCTCAGCAGCACAGCATTGATGCAGTCCTAAATAGAGATAAGGTACCCACCACTAGACAGACAATCATAAGAATAGGAACCCTATTTTATTAGATCACCTAATAAAAGTAGCATGATTATCATTCTCTGTGCGATAAACCCAGACTGAAATATTACAGTGACCATGGCTGTCAGCTATCTCCTTACAGCCACTGCTGTACTTTCCTCCCAGGCAGTGTTAATAGCTTAAGGACAACCAACCATGGGCATAAACGCCTCTTAAGATGAGTCTTCTCTTTCTCTGATAATTTATTCTTGGTGGTGGTGTTTTTTCTGTGTGTGGCCTCACTGATCATCATTAGGAAGTTTTGCTACATTGCCTCTCTTCCTTTCTAATCCTCTCTGCTGAGCTTCATGCTGGCTCGCCTCACTGTGTTGGTGCTCTGACACACCATTCAGTCTGCTCCCTTCTCTCCTTCATGAATATGTACTTTATTCCCCTCCTTGAGTTTTTACAGTGAAATAGTAGTGAAACCCTCCAGAAGCGGGAAGGAGAAAGAAGGGTTTGTTGAGAAAGCTACTCTAGACACAGTCTTTTGTGCAAAGATTTGATTCCTTTTGGGATCTGAGTGGGTTTTTTTGGTTGTGGGTTTTCTTTTTTTCCCCTCCACTTTGGCACAATATCTAAACCAATGTCTCTCAGCAGAGAAAGGAGAAGGAGGGAAACAGTGAGAATGAGCTTGAGTACTTCGCATTACCACTGTTGTAATGAGCTCTTTGCCTCTGTTCTTCAGTATTCTTCCCAGTCCCAAAGCCCCTTTTGGGAATATTAAAGTGAGAGCTGTAGAACGACGCACTTGCTGGAGCCGCCTGT